AAGACAAGAACTCTTCAAAACACAAAAGACGGAAGTTCAATTACAGGGTTAGAAGCTGAAAATATCACCCAGAAAACAGAACATGAAGGACAAAATAGTCAAAGAAAATTCTACTAGGCCAGAAGACTAAACATCTGATTAATAAGAGTTATAGAATGAGAGCAGAAAAAAAAAGGGAGGTGATAATTCAAGGAACTTGATTCCCTCAACCTTAGGATAGGAGCCCCCAGCCAAGTTGGGCTCTCCTCCCCCTGCATCCCCGCCCACATACCTGGTCAGCATCAACCTGTCCCCAAAAGGAAGTCCATTAGTTAAGAACCTTTTCCCACTGACAACCGTTGATCTCTCCCAACCATCCACTGGCAGTCATTTTTGAAAGTGCATTTCTAATTTCCTGCTCATCTTTCCAACAGCTACAGCTCTCCCACGAAGTTCAAACTATAAAAGGCATTTTCTGGAAAATGGAAAATGTAAGTGTGAGCTGAGTTGCAAAACTTAAAAAGCAGAGGAGCGGGGAAGTGGGGGGTGGGGAACAAGTGGACAGGCAGTGGGTTGCAGGAGGGCAGGGCCATAGGCTACATTGAAAGAATGAAAAGCTCTGTGGAAATTGACTTAGGCAACTTAGGCAAGCTGGTCAGAGAATAACAGCAGATGCCAGAGGTTGCAGATTCCAAAGAATCGCTTTCCCACTGCTCCCCAAAAACTGCCCTCCATCTGCTTGTGAATTCATACCCCAAGGTGACCATAGGGTCCTGTAAAGACTTCACCACTCTGTCCTTTCCTTGGGTTCTCTTCCCTTTGCTCAGGTAGGGTTTCCTGGTCCTATCTACATTTTTCTCCATTCCTAAAAGAAATTGAGAGGCCCCAAAATGAGAGCAAACCATGGATTACCTTGGGGCTATGAGATTATAGGTGATGACTAGTTTCTTCTTGGCAACTGCAGATGGCAAAACTGATTTTCATTTGTAGAAAACATAGTAAATGTCATTTTTAAAAATAATATTCCAATTCCCTACACAAAACAGTCCCTCCTCATTCTTTGCTTATTCCCTAGAAAAAAACTCTGGAATGCTAACCAGGATGCATTTCTCTCTAAAGTAAATCATAACCACTTGCAAATATTTGAGTGTTTGCTATGTAACACACAATATTTATTGAACCCTCAGTATGTGTGTTTTTTTAATGTGTAGCAACTCAACTGATTTAAACTTCAACATCCTGGGCCAGCCAAGTGGCACGTTGGTTAGGAGTTGGCTTGGGACGCCAGCTCTGAGCAGCAGGGCCCTGGTTTGGATCCCACATGAGGGCCAGTGATGCTGTGCCCTCTACAGCTAAGATGGTGAACAGCTAGACCTGGAGCTGGGCTGCCGTGGGTCAGCTGGAGATGGCGTAGGCTGCAACGGGGCTGGTCAGCAGCGGGCGTGAGCTGCCATGAGCACCGTGAGTGGCTGTCCAATGGCCGGCGAGCAACTGCCTCACCCGGAAAGAGCGCAATGATAATACCAACATGGGCCAGTGAAGTAGCGTCCTCCACAACTAGACTGAAGAACAAAAGGACATCAACTTGTCTGTTCCCCTTCCCCGATTCCCCAATAAAATCTTTAAAACAAAACAAAAAAAAACACTTCAACATCCCTGGGATTGGTCAGCAATGCATCCCTATTTTACAGATGGAACAATTTAGGCTCAGGTCACCAGCTTATGAATGGAGTGAATAGGAATATAAATCCAAATTTGATTCCAAAGCTCAGACCCCTTTAGTCTATTACCTCAGATGAATAACATGATCTAACAAATAACAGGCTTTTTGTAATATTTAGGACCCTCACCTAACTTATTGTGAATGAGCAACTAAGTCTTGCTAAACTAAAAGGCCCCTGGATTCCATTTAATCCTAGCAATTCTACAGGGTAGGTGTATACTTACACCCATTTCACAGATGGGAATAAGAACCTCAAAGATGGGGGGTAGGTTATGCCTATGACTTTAAGGAGCAGGATGCAGCAGCCCTACGTGCAGGCTCCCTCTGCATTTACCAGGACACTTCCTGGTAAATGAACACCTGCACTGGGCATTTTCCCTGCTGGAGGGACAAACTGTCCTGAGATAGTGGCAGATGTGAAAGCCTTCTAAAAAACACTAACCACCAAGGTGCAGAAGTGACTGGATCTCCCAGAATCTCAGTTCCATCGACTGTAAAAGGGGCCCAGTGAGAATATCAGCCCCCCACAAGAAAAGAGACAAGTCCACCCATCGCTTTAGGGAGTGTGATCTGCAACGAAAATAAGGAATTCTGCATTCTGCCAGCCCTGGTCCAAGAAACTGAAAATCACCCTACTAAATTCATGGTTTTTAAAAAACTCGCTCAACACAAGGGCATGCCTGAGTTGAGATCCTGTACCAATCAAGGGCTGGGGATGAGGGGGCACTTGCCATGGGGTAAGACCCAGGAGTTTCAGATTTAGCAGGGGCCATCTCAGATGAAATTGGAAAAGGTGCCTGAGCCTGGAGGCAGGAGAGCTGGCAGGAGAGCTGTTCTGAGACAAAGGACTCAATCCCAAGGTAAGTTTTCCCTGTAGGAGAACTTGCCCAAACCCCCCATCAGAAGCAGGTCCCTGGGGCTGCAATAATGAAGGGCAACAGGCACTTCTAGGTCATAGGCCCCACGTGGCTGGAGGAAGGAAAGAAAGGGAAGCAACCTCCCCCAGCCCCACCCCCCTTACTCCTCCCCTTTGCCCCCTGCAGCTCCCAGATGCTCTCCCCCACTCCTTCATTTGCAAGGGGTGGGGGTTATGCCTATGGCTTTAAGGAGCTTGATGCAGCCAGCCCCAGCCCCGGCCCTGGCCCCTTTGTCTCAGCCCTCTCCACCCCAAAGGGGAAAGGTAAAGGATCCTGCTTAGCTCTGAAATTACAGATTCAAGGTAGGCCACAAGCTTGGGGGGGAGGGGGGGGTGTAAAAATGGCCTCAACTCATAAAAGAAAACTATGGCTCTTTTCAAAAAAGGAACAAAGGCGCTCTTTCCTGCCAACTCCCAAATTGAGGACAATGATTTGGGAAAGCTTTCATAGCTGAGAGAGGAACAGTACCTAGGTGGAGAGAGGCAGGAAAGGAGGAGCCTGCGGGGTGCCTCCCTTCAACCCCAAATCTCATTAATGGCTACCCTAAAAAGAGGGACTATTAGTTGATTAATACAGATGTCAACATTCATCACCTGCTGTGCCAAGCACTATCCCATTGTGTCCTAATGTGGTATGTGGTAGGGGCTGTCATAACCATCTGATATCTGAGGAACATCAAGGGTTAGAGGTTAAATCATGCATAAATTGGTTTCATTCTTACACAATCTGGGGTTATTAGGATTGTTCCCATTTCGGATGTAATAACTAAGACACAGAAGGCAATGGACTTACTGGGACAGATTTAAACACAGGCCAAAGACCCAGCATCCACCTAAAAAGGGCATCCTGTTTAGTCCAGGTGCTAGATAAGGATGCCAACAGTGGCCAATTTTTATTGAGGGATTACTGTATGCAATCCCTAGCAAATAAGTACCATCTCCTCAACTCTGGAAAAATCAAGTCTGCACCTGGAGATTCCAATGGTCTCCATGCAAGAAGCAACAGTAGGCCTCCTGGAGGGCAGAGGCCGGTCCGGCCCCCTGGGCTCTTTAAGAGAGGGTCCCAGCAGGGATCTGCCTTCCAAAAACAATTGCCACCAGTTGGCCAAAACCCACAGCATCCAGAAATCAGGAGGAGGTTCAAAGTGTATACTGTCTTTAATTCTGTTTAATTCTCAGCTTAGGGGGATGGGGAAAGGAAAGGATGGGGGAAGGACAATGGCCCAGCCCAGGGTGTGAGAGAAAGAGGCAGGCTGGAAGCAAAGGCCTGGGACTGGGCCCAGAGCTCCTGCAGCGCTTCCCTGCCACAGGTGAGTGACTTCAACAGGAAAAGCCGGACCCGAGAGCAGCTCCTTGGTGCTAACTTGCTAAGTCCGCCCGCTATCTTTCCTGGCTTCCACTTTCTCCCCTGTGGAGTGGGACTCAACACCCATCCTCCCTCGCCAAACAATCCCAGGGGCAAGGAAGCCTGTCTTCTAGCCGGTGGTGCTAGCTTGTGAGTTTTTAAAGTTGAGGACTCAGCTTGGGAGTTTGAAAAGTGGGACCAGCCTCTCTTTCCCCGGAAGAGGGAAAAATGGAAAGTGAGCCCCAGGGCAGGCAGAGTGGCGGGGCGGGGAGGCGCCGCCCCCGAGCCGGCTCCTCCCGGCCAGGTGTACACTGGGCGAGCGCAGCCCCTCCCGAGGGCATCCCGGCAGCCCCACCGCGCCTCGCCCTCCGTGGCTCATCTAAGGACTTCGGGAGCCTGCCCTCTGGCTCAAGCCTCCAACACGCGCACGCAACCCAGCCCACCTGCTCCCGCACCCACACACACTAGTTTTTTTCTACCCCTGGGTGGAAAAAAAATAAAGCTTTCAGCTAAACCCCCAGGTCCAAGTCGAAAGGGACGGACGCCCACCTCCGTGGCTGAACTCTCTTCCATTCCGCCTCCCTCCCCAAGGAGGCTCCCTCTCAATCCGAAACCAGGTAAGGACACCCCCCTCCCCAAGACCTCCCTCCCCTTCTGTCTAGAGGGTCACCTCCAGCTGTCGACCCTACACCCCAGGAATGAGGCCCGGTCTTCCTTCCTGGGGAGGAACCTCTCTCCTCCTCGGGGTCTTTGGAGTACAGTAAGGGTAGCACGTCCACTCGTGTCCCTGCAAGACATACGACTCTCCCATCCCTCGCCCCATTTTATCCTTCTTGCCGGCTTCCCCGAAGTAGGGTCAGGGGACCTCTCCTCCACTAGCATGCCTGGTCTCCTGCCGGGTGGGAGCCGCCTCCCCACAAGGTACACGGGACAGGGTCCCTTCCTTGGAGTCCCGGCACCGCACCGCTGTCCCCTCCCCCACCAGCCCCCAGAGCCCCCCGGGCGGGCGAGCCTCCCCCGGACCACGGGGCGCTCACCTGCCGAGAGCCTGGCTCGGGAGCGGCTCCGCGGTCAAGCCGCGGGTCCGGGCAGGCTGGCGGGAGGCCGGCGGGCGGCCGTGCAGGGCGCTCCGCTCGCGAATCTCCGGCGCCGATCGCCGAGCTACGTTTACTTGGGCCGCTTAACCCCAGCGCTGCCGGCCGGGCGCGGCCGCCCGCTCGTCGGCCTGCCAGTGGGCCGGTGGCGTCGGTCCGGGGCGTTTGGAGCGTCCACGCGGGTTGCGGCCGCGAGACCCGGGTGCAGCTGCTGCGAGGAATCGGCGCGAGCCGGACCGGGCAGCGGTAGAGGGTGGGCAGGGGGCGGCGCCGAGTCCCCTTGTAGCCGGGTCCCGGCATTCGCCCCGCCCCCGCCCGGGGGCGCCCCCGCCGCAACCACTCAGAGCCCGGCCCCGGGCGCGGGGGGAGCGCGGGGAGCGGACGAGGGAAATTTGAAATCACTCCGGAGCCTCCCCTCTGCCCCTCCTCCACAGGCGCCGCCTCTGGTCCCCCTGGGCCTGTTAAATCACCCACCGGGATACCAATCCCTAAAGCGGAGGTCGCAGATGTCCTTGGACACTAGAATCCTCCTGGGACCGTTTCCCCTCCCGCCCCCCCCCCGACCCCGAACACATACACAACGGTCTGGATGCGGGGGTACAGAGAGGGAAGCGTCCCCAGTGGAGTCACACAGCAGCCGAGTCTCCTCTTTACCCACACCTCCAGCTGCCATGTCACCTGGGCGCTGCAGTGCCCCCCGCCAGCCCCCGGGCTGTGGACCCTTGGTCTAGCTCTCCCTTCCTACCACCTTGCCCACCCTTTGTCAGCCATCTTAAGGGGCGAGGAGCGGAGGGGAAGGGAGAGCAAAGGAGGGGAAGGCAGTTAGGTCCCTGGCTGCCTGGGTTCTCCAGTACTTCTGGCATCACCAGCAGAAGTCCCACTCTTGTTAGCAGGTCTCATCTGCTTCGACCCTTAAAGGGGCACTGAACTATTAGAAAACAGCACTTCCTAATATTTATCTTACCTGATATTTACACTTGTGTATTTGTTTGTTTCCCTGCTTATTGTGTGTCTGCACACATCAAACTGTAGAGGCAAGGTCTCAGTGTGTCTTAGCACACACTAAAACACTCAGTAAATACCAGTAAATACGTTGAATAAATGAGAGAACAAATGAATGATGGCCTCCAAGACCTATAGCAGGCTCTTGCCTGCCTTTCCAGACACCTCCTACCCTTTCCCCTTCCTCATGTCACTCTAACCTCACCTCTTTGCTGTTCCTACAGCAAGCACATTCCTGAACATCCTTTGCCCAGATCTCTGCACAGCCAGCTTCTCACCATTCAGTTCTCTCCCCAAAGGTCACCTTCTGGAGAGGTTTTTCCTGACCACCTCCTTGAACAGTCTCCCTTCTCCATCACTCCTATCTTACTTATTTCATTCTCTTGGTAGCACTTACAGCTATTTGAATAGTTTTGCATCATTCCTTCTTTACATCTTTTTTTTTTCGTGTTACACACACACCCACATATTATGAACTGTACTCCACACATACAGAAACCACACCTGTCTGTCTTGTTCCAAGCTGTATTTCCAGTGCCTACAGTAGGAGTTCAGTACAAGTTTGTTGAATGAATGAATGAGCCCAGGTTTCCTGCCTCGCAGGCTCTAGCTCTCTGAATAAAACCACAGCTTTCTCGCTCCATCTCTTGCCAGGTATTTGCAAATAAGTAAATGGCAAATTCTCTGGAAGCTGCAAACGTTTCTAAACTTACTGGATCTTGTTCTACCTAGGAACCTGGAGAGAGGCTAAAAAGATACACAAGTGAAATGGGCTCAGCAACCAGGAGAACCTCATGTGAACGAGCAGCAGGAACTCCTTGGCCTCTGACACAAACATCCAAAATTGAGTTCCAGTCAGTTGGTACAGGAAGAAGAGGATCTCTCAAGAGGGCCTGTGGCTTGTCCCCACCATCTGAGGTATGTCTTTAGGGGTAAGAACGTAGGTCTGAGCTGGTGCGGCCATGGGGATGGCTTCTAGGCCTCTGTTTTCTGATCCATAAGCGAAGACCTGCTATGTGACCAAGGATGTCTGTGTACCATCAGAAATGCCTGGGAGGCCTGGTTAAGATGCCAAAGGGTTGGGTTTTCTGGGATATGGCAGACATTTCTGGGGACAATAGAATGACCACGTCACTCTAGGAGGTAAAAATAGAGTCTGAATGAGCAAGTGGTCTCAGCCCTGTCATTAAGAGGGGAAGGTGAATGCCAGGACAACTGGTAAAAGTGGCATGACATCTCCTGAGGGCACAGAACTTCATAGATTGCAAAGTTTATTGGTCATATTCACCACCTTATTTGAGTCTCACAGGCACTCCAGCAGGAGTCAGGGCAAGGAGTATTGGGAGCCCCATTTCAGATGAGGTGACTGAGACTCAGAGAAGACCGGAACTTGTGCAAAGTAAATCAGCCATGTGGCCTGACCTTAACTGAGCCCTTGCTATGGAATTCAGATAGGAAGGTCCAGAGCTTACATGCTGGTTGAGGTGTGTCAGGCAATAAACATAAATAAACAAATAAGGGAATGTCAGGTATGGATAAATCTGGGAAGAAGATAAAATAGAGACCGGAGTGATGCGGTCTGATCCAGGTTGGCATGTAGGAGGAACAGCCAGGAGGCCAGTGTGGCCAGAGCAGAGGGAATGAGGAGGGGAGAAATAACAGCAGCCAAGGAGGGAGGGAGGTCTTGCAGGACCTAGGAAGCCATGGTGGGAATTTTGGTTGTCACCATTTGGACCATGATCTGACTCAGATGTTTAAAACAGACCCAAATGGAGAGGTAGGACAAAGAGGAGGCTGGTGTCTGATATGCAAGACAAAATGGTGGTCTGGACCATGGTGGGAGCAGAGGAGATGGAGAGGAGTGACTGGATTTGGGATAGATTGTGGAAGTTTAGCCAAGTGGCTCCAGGGGGTAGAGGAAGTACTGGCAAGGATGATTTAGCCTTAGCACCTGGGCAAAAGGAGGTGCATTGACCTAAATGAGGAAGGCTTGCGGAATGTGGATTTGGAGAGGAGCTCAGTAGGTCTGCCTTGGCCATGTGAATGTGGAGTCACGTTATGGGCCGGGCTGACACCAAGGTCCCCTGACTATCTGTCCAGGGCTCCTCTCACTCACTGAGTGGTAGGACATGCCATATACATCTCCCACCCCATACCCTCTCCCCCCGCATGCAGTCTCAGAGGGGTTGACACCGTGTCTTGGAGAGGGACATTTCATCAGACACTTTGGTTTGAAGCCTGCTTCCAAGATCCTGTGAATCTGATAAATCATCTGGTCTCTCTGAGCCTCAGTTTCCTCAGCCATAGAAAGAGAATTCATGGGATTACTGCTGGGATTTAAACTGAATGAATTTAAATGAAAACTCTCTGCTGGATTACCCAGTTGGGCCAGACAAGGGTCCAGCCCCCAAAGAAATATTTTTATGAAAGATTTTGCTTTTCTGGAATTGAAAATAAATTTTAAAAAAGAGTTTGCTTTTATTCCCACACCCCCAAGATTTTGCTTCTTGATGTTTAAAGAAAAAACATAAAGGTGTTACTAGATATACACAAACACATACAAAGGCACTGGAGAACAGGAAAGGTTAGAAAGAGATCTTTTGTTTCTAGATAAATTTCAAATCTTCCTCTGGTTGCATACAGATGCAATAGTGTTTACTTAAAAATGTAACAGATCACAATCATTATAATCATGATGGTAATCAGTGTTGATAAAAGAAACAACAAAAATCCTGTGATTAAAGGTCATTTGTTTCATCATCAAAAAAAAACATAGATAAGAGAATGTCCTTGCTCTTAGGAAATAAATACTAAAGTATTGAGAGGTAAAGGGACACAATGTCAACAATTTGCCCTTAAATAGTTGAGAACCAATATGCCTATATATGGGAAAGGGAGGGTGTAAAGCAAATGGGGCAAAATGTAAACAAATGAGAAGCCGATTAAAAAGATATTCATAAGTTCCTTATGCTAGTTTTGTAACTTTTCCATACATTACAGATTATATCAAATAAAAAGGTGCCCCCAAAATTAGTGTTAAAAAGAAAAACCACAAAAAAAAAAGAAAAAAGAAAAACTACATGTACCTACATACACCCTTGATGTCATCATGCTAATAAATCAATACACTGATGGACTTACACCTATGTTGTGGTTAATTAAGATATATTTGTGTTGAGTTATGCCATCATCTTTGCAGTTCTTAGAGCAGCCACAGGTTTTTAATAACATGTGCAAAATGCTTAGCACAGTGCCTGATGTATAATAGATACTTCATATATGGTAGGTATGTTTATGAGCAAGTGACTTCCTCTCTTTGTGCCTCAGTTTCTTTGCCTGTAAAATGGAGGCAATGGCAGTATCTACTTTATAGGACTGTTGTGAGAATGATATGCATTAATACATGTAAGGCATTTTGAACAGTGCCTGGCACATGGAAAACACCATTAAAATGCTTGTTAAATTAAAATATATACATTGTTGTTAATAATGAATACCTGCTGCTCTGCTTTCTGGCTCTCCCACCCTCCTCAGCGTCACATAACCCTGTCTCTTGGGCTCCCGGCTACTAAGGCAAGCCCAGTTCACCTCTAAGTCTACAAGCAGTGTCGCGTTATCATAAGCCCCATTTTACAATTAAGAAAACTGAGACTCTGAGGGGAAAGGAGTTTACCTGAAAGCCACAGCTGGCTGGTGGCAAAAAGCTGGGACTAGACTGCCAGCTTACCTTCCACCCCATCCCCCACTGGGAGTGTGCTATGCTAAGGAGTTTGAGCCTCAGCCATCCTCCCATCTCATTGGAATAATAATAATCATAATGCCTACTTCCCGGAGTGACTGCGGGATTCACGGAGCCCAGGTATGTGAAAGAACCTCGTTATAAAGTACTCAGTCTGAATCGCAGTTATCATTAGAGGCCACGTTCATTTGTAAAGTGGGTTCCTCGCCTTGCCTTGCATTTTCAACAGGAACACCCAGACTTCTTCCTGGCCCTGACGACCTGTAGAAGGAATTCTTTTCTGCTTTTTGAAACCCAAAAATGGGCCATTGAAATATTTGCTTTAAATATATCTGCCTAGATAAATACACAGAATCTGGTCAAGTATTATTCATTAGTTATTATCAAATAAGCATATTAGTTATAGCTATGGAGAGAATACCGTGCTCCAGACACCGGGCTGAGAGTTTTACAGGTATTAAGCATTGACTCTAAGGGCAACCTAATGAAG